CTTGGACAGTGGGAATGAGCTTCTCATTGCTTTGATTGATGTCAATGGTAAGGGGTTTTACCCTAAGATCTTGACTGATGGTTCTAAAAATCTCAACAAAAATGAGGTAAATGTTGATGAAAAGTTCTCCTCGGAGAATTGTAAGATTGACCTTGAGATAAAAATCATTGAGAACAACTCTATTTCATGAAAATTTCTTTCCTTACTTTGCGTTCTTGTGAATAATTTGTATTAGAAGTCAAAATCAAAATAATGGTCTTGAAACAAGATTTATCACCAATATATAGTAAATTTTTTTAATAACCAAAGTTAAAGAAGGGAAATACAAACTTACCTGATAGGAGCTACAAAAACTTTAGAACTCCACCTTTTTAGGTGGGGGAGTGAACTCTGTAGCATGATTAGAATCAATGCGCTATGAGCATGAGCACCACCATTCATTCGATCGATATTTGTACTTATCTTTTCTGTTTCTCTCACGACATTTAAAAGTAATTGAAAGGAATGAGTAAAGAAAAGGAGCAATACTACCTAACATATAAAAATTAGATCTATAACTTACTATATACAAGGGTAGAATGTGGGTGTTCATATTGTCGCACCATACCCCATGCAGCTTTCGATTGAGATCCTACCCTTGATTATAGTCACTTATAAATCTAATTTTCATACGTCAGGTAAGTATTTCTCCTTTTCATTGTTCATTCTTTTCAATTACTTTTAAATGTCATGAGAGAAACAGAAAAGTCAAGTGCAAATACAAGTCGACTGAATGATGGTGCTCATGTTCATAGCGCATTGATTCTAATAATGCTACATAGTTCACTCCCTCACCAAAAAAGGTGGAGTTCCAAAGTTTGTATATCTCCTATCAAGCAAGTTTGGATTTCCCTTTTTTAACTTTGGTTATTCAAGGATTTACTATGTACATGTAATGAATGTGGTTTCAAGACCATTATTTTGATTTTGACTTCTAATACAAATTGTTTGCAAGAAGGTAAAGTAAGGAAATAAATTTTCATAACACAGAGGTTTTCTCAATGTTTTTTATCTCAAGTTCAATCTTACGATTCTCAGAAGAGAACTTTTTATCAACATTAACCTCATTTTTTTGAGATTATTATATTCCTCAATGAAGATCTTAGGGTAAAAATCCTTACCATTGACATCAATCCAAGCGACGCACAGCTTATTCCCACTGTCAAAATTTATTCCTATCATTGATAAAAATAAAAATCATTTTACACCCTTCCATTTCCATATCAATCATAGACTCGCCACTCACAAAATGTGAACCGACACATCCATGGCATTTTTCTCAAAATCTACCCACCTTCAATCCTTAAACACCATAAACCTCACTGACATCCCCCTCTCCTTGAAATTCTGGTGGTTTTGAACCAACAAATGTGCATGATTAGTTAATCTAGCCAACAAAATCAACCTGTTCATCGGAATAAGAACCTCAACCCTCACCTTTCATCTCATAGACACTGTCACCGCTGCTTTCGCCTGTTGTCCTCTCGAAAGGAACAACTATCTCCATCTTGTTACCATTGGAAACAACTAAAACCGAATCAACTTCATCGTCGGTGATCATTGGAGCACATGAACTGATTGAAGCTATCGATATCCCTTCAAAGTCCATTCAGAGATACAAACTAGAGGAGAAGAAGGAACTTAGAAGGAAGTAATGGAAGTGACTAAAAATGAGATAAAGAAGAAACATAAGGAAGATGATACAAATGAGTTCTCTAACAATAAGAAAAAATAAAAATTTAAGTGATTTTGGAGAAGACGAATAAAGGAAATGACCATCTTAACCTTATTTAACTTCACTTCAACTGTAAAGGTTTTCTTTTAGTGTTAGAGAATATTTGGATAATTTAAAAATTGTTGACCTGACTAGATTAATAAATTAATGATTTTATGATAAAAATTCTAATTATATTTAATATTTGATCATTTTTTCACATAATACTTTTTTTTTATAAATACCATGTCTTTAAGGAAGAATTTATTAAAGAAAATTTTAAAAATTAATATTTCAATTTTTATTAGTGAGACAAAATTTGTTACAATTTTTTTTTATTTTTTTCTAAAAAGGAATAACAACAAGAGTCATCGAGAGGCGGATCCACATGCTTATGTGAGGGCATGTACACACACACACACACACATGTGTGTGTGTGTGTGTGTGTGTGTGTATGTATGTGTATATGTATAACTTGAATAGAAGATATATTTTATTAGTCTTATTATAATACGGAAACTAACTGGTGCATTGGTTTAAATATTGTGCGTCTCTTTATTTTGAGGTTATAGTATTTAATTCATTATATGAATTTCTTATAGTGTCTAATTTTGTTGGAATGAAATGTGATGTTTTCTCATTGATAAGTTCAACTTGTACAAGAGAAGTTGTTGTAGTGATATTATTAAAGACTGAGGATGTTTTGTGCCTTTTAATGAAGCAAAACATGTTCAAACAACTACCTATTTAGCATGTGAAATTTTGTTTAGGAATCGTCTAGCTACAATGTGCATATCCCGCCTTCTTTATGTGAGGAGGCTTGAGTATGGCTTCACATATATATGGTTTGATATGGTTTATCTTACTGCTTTTTTCCTATCTTAGTTCTTCATTTTCTTATTATATTATGTATCTTTGTCAGAATTAGAAACTTAAGTTAGTCGTTGATATTTCGTGTGCTTCGAATGGTTATTTAATCAGGATCTTGATTTATTATTTTTGTTTTTTCAAACATTCTATGTTACTGAAACTCAAGGTATGAATTCTAGGGTCGTGCCTTATTTTGAGTTGTGACTAGGATGCTAGGCTATGTTAACAAACACATCCTTCAATTTATGTGACCTATTTTTATTACGGTTTGATCTAGTTCGGTTGAGTTCTTGTTGCCCTGTTTTCAATCTTTTTAATCTCTTTCCAGTTTCTCCAATTAATCATTATCACATTTTTCTTCATCTTCAATAGATTTCATTTGTTTTGAAAATTGTTCAAATATGGACGAGGTTCAACCTGGTAACAACAGAACCACTTTCAGAATGGACACTATAAGTCCATTTTATCGACATGCATCAAAGAATGTAGGCTCAACATTGTTACATTATTTTTTGATAGAAATGGGTATATATCTTTGAGAATAGAAGTTTTTAGACTTGTTAGTGAAAAGAAAAAATTCTTTTATTAAAGGAAATATTGTGAAACCAGACTCTATTGATTTGAGTTTTCCACATAAGGAGAGATAAAATTACATGGTCACCTCTAGGGTTCTAAATTCACTTTACCTGATCTGAGTGATGCACTCTAATATATAAGCAATGATAGCAAACTTTGGAATAATTTAGAGAACTGATACAATCAGAAAAATGGATGCAAACTGTAAAAACTTCAAAAGAAAATAAATGACATTACGCAAATATGAAGAAGTTGTGACAGGAGATGAACACAGTAGACATCACTTTTGAATTCACACTGTTGTGAGGTGAAATATCCTGATGATGACAATGTTTCCCATTATGGCACAAGCTTTTGTTATCCTATCCTAAAAGGAAAGGAAACGCGAAGTGAGGCCTCATAACCAGGTTGCTTTGGAGTCCATATCGCTGAATGCATCTACTTCTCACCCCACACCAGTATAGATTTCAAATACAAACTGTAGTTCATAAAAAGAAGGTACAAATAATTTTGGAAATTCTAACAAGTAATTCAGAGGTATCTGTAGTACTGGTAATTTCTATGTACAAAACAAGTCATACTTGTTTTTTTTTATTACTGCATAAGATATGGAAACACCAAGGATAGATGTTATAAAATCCATGGCTATCCATACAACTCTAAATTTTTCAAAGGAAAATGTTCAATTTTTGCAGGAATGGCAAAATATGTGAAGAATGAAGCAGTCAAGGTGGTGGGAAATATCTTGAACTAAGGTGACACATGTTACTTAATATATCCAAAGTTTGGTATGAGAAGCTTCTCATCCTCTTGAGGACCTTACAGGCTAGAAACAGAGACAATGAAAATACATGTAACACGTTTAGTGAAGTTGTAAACCTGGTAGGTATAGTTGCTTGTCATTCTTTAATGACAGATATGTGACTTGTCATGTAATTGCGCTAAATTTCCTATAAGCTCTTGGATCATGGACTAAGGAGCATCATAACATATGACATATGATAAAATTGTCCTTAAAACACTTGAACAATATGATATCCTCTTCTAATAACCTTAGCAAATTGACACAAGGTTAAATTAAATGAAATCTGAGATGTTTTTTTGAATCCAGTATTGACTCAAATTCAATTTATTATTTGTCCATTGTTTAGAAGTACAATTAAGAGTGCCATGATCGGGAAGTACCCCCTAGAAGCTACATAATGTACTTGACCTCTCAGAGATATTATATAATCCCTCAACATTCATTAATCAAATCGTCATAAAATTAAATTAGTGCGGAATCAAAACTTTTTCATACTATAACACAAGACTAAAAGTCATTTCACTTAAAAATTATTAGTAGATAGTTAGGACACTAAGTCTCGTCTTTCTATATTAGACATGAATTTAATGTAATAGGGACACGACCCTTTTAATACAAGAGAACATTTCTATACTATTAGATGAACTAGAGTAAAATCTTAGCATGAAGGTCCTTGAATCACTAAGGATACACATGAACTTGAGAATAGTAATCCAAGCTCTTCATTCTAGGAAAGATTCTTTAGCCATCACCACTACAATTGCTGTAAAAAAATGAAGAAGAATGGTTGTAGTAAAAGAATGCACCAAGTATGATAACCTTCAAAAAACATGCTTTAAAACAGACATTTAGATAGAAACCATGCATCATGTCATTTTAGAGAAATTCATAAGTGTTTGATACAATAAGCACAATATAGTCCACATACATTATATTAGGCATGAAATACCATTCACAACTCTGATGCAAAGTAGCAACATACAACAACAAATTTTTCTCACCGGAAGAATGGAATCTATTACCAAGCATGCAATTGTGATTAAAATCATGGTTCGTACCAGATCCAAGAGGCAGATGACTCATGTGAGAGTCAAGTTTCTTGATGACCAGAACAGGTTTATCATGAGAAATGTCAAGGAACAAGTCAGAGAAGGTGATATTCTCACACTATTGGAGTCTGAGAGGGATGTCAGGAGGTTGAGTTGAGCCCATGATTATGATTGCCAAATCAATATTCCTTTGAATACTGAATATTGGCTGGGATTTTGTTCCCTATTTAATAGTCTTTGGTTTTGTTAGCTTAGACAACTTTAAGTATGGACATGTCGATTTTGGTCATTTTGTGCACTTCATGTTTCTGGAATAGTTTTAATATATTATTTTGCTACATTTGTGTCAAGAAAAACCATTCACAATAACACATAAAACCATTTATCACATTTAAGATACATTCAATATCTTCAATACATTACTTTTCCATTTTATCTTAACCCATTTACCTAAAGCAACACTTAAGTAATATTTAGTGCAATGCATCAATAGTGTCGCACTCCACCTTTTATACCAAAGCATCACCTTAAGGTCACCAAGGGTGAACATTCAGACAACCTTCATCAATTCAAGCATATACATTCATAAGGAAATAACATATATGAAACATAAACTTCACATAAGAACCATCACCTAATTCAATCCCAAGTCACACTAGTGCAATTTGCAAGTAGAATCCCATAATACTATTCACACCAAGTGTTCCTATGAAGTCACCCTAGACTAGGCACATCACCTTCAATAAGGCGCAACATATTTATTTTACCTTGGACATAAGACCTATATACTTCATATACCTAATATAAGAACTCATTCATTCATTACATCACAAGATTTTACTCCTAACCCCAATCAATGTATACTAGTGCAATGTATATGTGAAGCCCAATAACCTCACATACCAATTAAACAAACAAGGAGATCACAAATATATCTTTTTACTCCATACATCATCATGACAAGTATAGTCAAGAACATGCATACTAAGTGAGACCATTGTCATGTATATTAAATGAGACTAACATCATGCATATATATATACACACACACACACACACACACACACACACACACACACACATAAATAAGTCACCCTAGAATTCCCTTAAGACCTACTTGTGAAATGCATGGTATACTACCATTCCCTTACCTACACTAAGTAACATCTCTTAAGTAAACCTAACTAGTTTATCTTCTTACTTCCATTTGTTCATTTTACATATGGGAAACTTTGCCATAATCAGCATAAACCATGTGAGTTAAACATGGGATCCAGTGTCAACCTCTCACACCGAAAGTAGGGCATCCTAATTGCCAAGGAGGGACATCAACATCATATAGCAACTAGGTGGATACACTAGGGACTATAGGCCACCCACCCACATTTCATCATGGGATACAAGAGCACATTCAACATTGAATAGACAACTCCTAACATGTATAGGATCTCACATTCCTATTAGGTCATATAGGTAGGGTCATTACACAACTACTTAACATAATCACTCATGTAGACCACACCTTATCCCTAACATTATCATTTACCATTATACTTCACATTATCCACACACCTTCATCATTCCACTAACATTGAGGACTACAAACATAACTTTCATGGCACATGGTCACACTAATTATCGTCATAACAACAATTCACTCCATATATAATTCCCTCAAGACCATAATCACAAAATGTATAGATAGACAAGATGTAAACACCACCACCATAAGAGGACCAAACCATACAACAACAATTCCAATACTAATAGACTAGAAGTTAGGTTAACTTTCCAATTCTTCAAGACATGATCAATCATTGATCAATACTCAAAAATTCATCATCAATAGGTAAATAAAGAAATATAATTCAACAATACATCACCATCTCTGCATAATTCCATTAAAATCCAATCAAGATCACAAAACCCACTTTAAGGCAAAATTGAGAGATTATGGAGACCATGGGTTCTTCAATGAATTACATTAAAAATATTGTTAAAAACCTTGATTAAAATTTTTTATTACAATGTCTTTGAAAAACGATTCAAAATGAGATGATATTTAGATTATAAATTGGGAAATTTGATCATAGATAATCTTTGGAAAATATTGATAGAACTCCTTGAATGAAAGGTTATCGAAGGATCAAGAGTTGACATACCTTATTGTATGAATAACAAATAAATTTGAAGAAGAAAATAGTTTTAAATCCATCTCCTAGTTGATCTTGATCTTGGTCTCCAACCGAGTTCAGAGAGAATCTAATTTGGGAGGGAAGGGTTTAATTTGATGAATGTATTCTAATTCTAGGTTTAGGTGTTTTAACTAATTTAAAGTACCCTAAAATGGATAAAATAACTGTCCACCCTTTGATTAGAATGTGAGGTGAATTTACCAATTCACCCGTTAGCTGGCCAAACCATTGGATAGATTGCAGGTAGTGGCTCACGACCACCCTATATCGGCAGTAGGTGGTTTGATGCCACCGTCCTGCAGCTCCATGGTTCTTGACTAAGGATTCCTTAAATGGGGTCTATAGTCCTTTGATTAGGTGTCTATCCAAGAACCCCACTTACGGGCCGTCACTTTTTCAATGGGGCGTCAGATGGGGTCGTTGGTCAAGATATTTTGTCAGCTTTTGGCCAACAATTAGGTCCTCTTATAGGACCCTTAGGGTGGTCTTTTGGGAGTCATACCCAGATATTTAGACCCTAAACATGACCATCTGTGCCCTCTTATCATTTGGGAATCCAAACAATACTTCAAAACAAGCCAAATATACTATGACATACTAAAACACAAAAGACTAGTGTCCAAACTTCTTGGTCGTCCTTCGATATTTGACCTCAAACCTCTTAAAAAACAACTACTACATGTTGTGTCTCAACTTATTAACAAGTTATTAACTCATAAAACTTAGGTGAGGCTCTAGTTTATCCTACTTCATTTTGGGGGTCATAAAAATTATCCTGAACTTGGGAACATTCGTCTTTGAACGATACTTAAAACACTTTCATCACTTTCAACGACTCAAGTACCCAATTAGCATCTCACAATACAAAACATAATACAACATAATAGTCAGTGCACCAAACATAAAAGGTACAACAACTTTATATCATTATGCACCTAATGCAACACAGGCAAGTAAAGACTTCATCCACCCACTCTTACTTTATTAAACACACAAGTATTTCTCATGTTCATAGGAGGAACTACCTTCTCTTAATCATGACATGACCTTTACTTTCATCTTCTCAAAATGTCTATTATGGAATAACCTTTTAAATAACACATAGGAATTTCAATATTATAATCACGAGGAAATAAATAACTCATACTAAATGCTCATAAATCAAGAGTAATGTAGATGAATTACAATATTTATCATTTAGACATAATACCATCAAAGACATACACAACATTACCATGTTAAGTTTGTTCAAGGAGGAATTACCTTCTACTTAATATACTAACATGTCATCATGAAGTTCATATACAAGCCTTCCACAAAGGTTAGTTCATTTAAAGAGAAATTTTCCAATTCTAATCAAAGCATGCTAATATCACCTTCCTCATGAAGTTAAAATGGTAGATCACACCAAACACATCACAAAATTAGGAAGTTATTTTACTAAACATTGATTTCTTGCATAACACTACTTATCATGAACATACAACATTTAGGGAATTTCTTACAATTCATAGGCACACATCAATAATATTTGCTAGATACACCATCACTTCTCAAGAGTGAGCCTATATTAACACTTCCCAAATCACAAAATTACATTTCATAAAAGGAAATTTATCTTTTCTCATTTGAAGAAAGCTCAACATCTCACTGTGGGGACAAAATACCATCACATCAATAGTGACATCAAGCATGTTCATTAAACCTTCTGATAAAGTCAAATGTGCACTTACCATATTAATATGCAACACAACCTAAGAAACATATAATTTATCACAAATCCCTTTTTATGTAATAAGAATCCTTCAAAATAGGCATAACATAATATCATCTAGTACATGCTTGACATATGGAGAACATCCAACTCATACTCACATGTGAGACCCCAAAACATGACAAATATACTAGGAACTCTTTGGTTTCAAGCTTAAGTAAAAATAGAAGGAAAATATCGGGATATCAATAACTTTACTACTCAACTCATCATCCCCTAATTAGGGTAAGACCAACAGAGAGAAACTCATTTCATCCAACAAAATTATACTATACCAACCCTTCTAATCAAGAACCACATCCCTCTCTTGGGATCAAGTTTATGCATTCCCTTTTAAACATCACCTCATTAGACTGTAAAGGAGGAACTATTTCTCACTAAATTTTCACTACACTCTATTTGGTGAGGATTTCAAGTAATCTTAAAATGAGTATCTAATTAACTCCAATTCATATCCATAACTCAAAGTAATTCTTAATATGGAGAAGTTCAAGGAAGCTCAATTTAGGAACCTTAAGGGAACTCAAAACGTTACCATCTAGGCATATTATCCTCCACTTGGCTTGAGCTTAGTAAAATCGTCATCACATCATGCCCTTTAATACCAAGGTCGAGGCAAGTTAAGATTAAACCTCCATACTCCTCACATAATATCATTATACACCATCGAGTATTTCACTCCTACCCTCATAAAAAAGATTTTATCATTTCAACATCAATAGGTACCACTAAAGCACCACTATTCCTCCAAGTCCATCACCTAAAGGAAACTCATAAGAAATCAAGTTGGGTCACGCTATCAAACCACATGAGGCCTTAACTACTCATGAATACTAAAGGTAGATCTATAATATCATTAAATTCTACTACCAAGTCATACAAAGGTAGGTAGTTTCGGATTATTCCTACAAGGTTCATCACTTTAGGTAGTTCATATATAGCCTTTAGAGAATATCCCTACAACTTAGTACTATCGAAATTTCCAATTTTATTAAAGCATAAGACACATGTTAGGACTCTTAAGATCCACTACCACTTTTCTAGAGACTTAGGGTAATCATCATCTCTATGTAAATTGTTTGGGGAATTTAGAAGACATTTGGCCATAGAAGTCTCTGTCTTTTCTTCCAATATTTGATCAAGATAACTTCTAGACCATTTCACCCCTTATCATCACTTTTTGGTGGAATTTCCAAACAACCATGCCTAGGTACAATCTAAGCACT